TGAGGTTGGGAGTTTGAGACTAGCCTGACCAACATGGACTAACCCCATCTCTACTGAAAATACAAAATTGGCTGGGCTTGGTGGTGCATGCCTGTAATCTCAGCTACTCGGGAGGCCTAGGCAGGAGAATCGCTTGAACCTGGGAAGCAGAGGTTACGGTGAGCCAAGATGGCACCATCGCACTCTAGCCTTGGCAACAAAAGCAAAACTCTGCCTCCAAAAAAAAAAAAAAAAAAAAAAATATATATATATATATATATATATATATACACACACACACACACATACACACACAAAAATTAGCCAGTGTGGTGGCGCACACCTGTAACCCCAGCTACTCAGGAAGCTGAGGCAGGAGAATTGCTTGAACCCAGGCGACAGAGGTTGCAGTGAGCCGATATCAGGCTACTTCACTCCAGCCTGGGTGACAGAGCAAGACTCGTCTCAAAAAAGAAAATACATGGGAGGAAATGGTATATCCTGAAATGAGGACTTTCATTCTGGACTAGGGTTTCCAACGAAGGTGACAGTTTATCCTTCAGTCTCCACAGGCCAAGAATTTGCCATCCAGCAAGAGGCAACAGAGGAAGCCCCCCAAGTCCCATGCCAGAACTATGACATTATTACATTCCATTTCAATACTTAAATATTAATAATTCATCCGCTTAAATATCTACACTTACTTTACCAATTTTCCATTGTATTGATGAAGAGGTTTCCAAATTTCATATAGGTCGTCATGATGTGGACAGGACTTTTTGATAACTATACCAAATGACTATATAAAAATATAAGTGTTAAGCCAGGTGTGGTGGCTTACGCTTGTAATGCCAGCACTTTGGGAGGCCGAGGCGGGCGGATCACGAGGTCAGGAGATCGAGACCATCCTGGCAAACTTGGTGAAACCCCGTGTCTACTAAAAATACAAAAAAATTAGCCGGACGTGGTGGTGGGCGCCTGTAGTCCCAGCTTCTCGGGAGGCTGAGGCAGAAGAATGGCGTGAACCTGGGAAGTGGCAGAGCTTGCAGTGAGCAGAAATAGTGCCACTGCACTCCAGCCTGGGCAACAGAGTGAGACTCTGTTTCAAAAAAAAAAAAAAAAAAGAAAGAAAAAGAAAAGAAAAATATAAGTGTTTAAACGTAAAATACCTTGCAACTGCTAACACAGGGCTAGAGAATATAGCAAGGTAATAGTCTGTCCAGTAAATTCTTCTGAAAAAAAGATTTTTTTTTGAAACAGAGTCTCACTCTGTCAACCAGGCTGTAATGCAGTGCCACGATTTCAGCTCAATACAACCTCCACCTTCCAGGTTCAAGCGATTCTCCTGCCTCAGCCTCCCAAGTAGCCAGGACTACAGGTGTGTGCCACCACACCAGGCTAATTTTTGTATTTTTAGTAGAGACGGGATTTCACCAACTTGTCCAGGCTGGTCTCGAACTCCTGACCTCAGGTGATCCGCCCACCTCAGTCTCCCAAAGTGCTGGGATTACAGGAGTGAGCCACTGCGCCCAGTCTTCTTCTGCAATTTCGACAATCAACTGTGCGATTTGCCTTTCCTTCAGCACCGAGATTTTATTTTTCTTTCCTAATTATTTCAAACATGAATTTTGGTTCCAGGGAACTAGTATTTCCTTAATTTATAAATTGAGGGTGGCTGAGCATGGTGGCTCATGCCTGTAATCCCAGCACTTTAGGAGGCCAAGGCAGGCAGATCACTGGAGGTCAGGAGTTCAAGACCAGCCTTGCCAACATGGTGAAACACTGTCTCCACTACAAATGCAAAAATTAGCCAGCTGTGGTGGCAGGTGCGTGTAGTCCCAGCTACTAAGGAGACTGAGGCATGAGAATCGCTTGAACCCAGGAGGTGGAGGTTGTGGTGAGCCAAGATCATGCCACTGCACTCCAGCCTGGGTAACACAGGGGGACTCCATCTCCAAAAAAAAAAAAAAAAAAAAAAGAGGGTCATCTCACAGATGATCTAATAAATAATGCTTTGTCTTTAGAAATTCACATTATTAACTTTTCTACTTTTAGATATCGTAACTGCTGTGACTTGAAGGACTTATCTCAACAAAGCCTTAAAAAACTAGGGTGGGCAGTGGGTGAATGGGTTGGGGGAACCCACACAAAATCCCCAAGACATCTGGAAGCCCATGACCCCATGAGAGGGACTGCAGGCAGCTGTAGCAGACTGGATGGGAGAGGACAGCAGGCAGGAGAACTCAGGGTCTGGAGGCCATGGTTCTAAGGCCAGAGGAAATCATTGGCAAACTTAAATCCAGAGCTTGACAGGATGAAATTTGTGATTGTAAATGAATATTTGCCATTACCAAGTGAGATCGCCAGTGGTTAGGTGCTCCTCCATGTGGGCCACAGTGAGGAGAACATGGCATCAGGCCAGGGTGTTCCTACCAGGAAGCAGGATCTGCACCTGTTTAGGACGAAACGCTGGGCAGACCCAGCTTAGAGTCATCTCTGCTCTTTACATCTGTCAAGGCTGTGAAAACTGAGAGTCGCCCAGATGCGGTGGTTCACACCTGTAATCCCAGCACTCTGGGATGCTGAGGCGAGTGGATCACCTGAGGTCAGGAGTTAAAGACCAGCCTGGCCAACATGGTGAAATCACATCTTTACTAAAAATACATGCTCAGCTGAGCATGGTGGTAGGTGCCTGTAATTACAGCTACTCCAGAAGCTGAGGCAGGAGAATCTCTTGGAACAAGGGAGGGGGAGGTTGCAATGAGCCAAGATGGCACCACTGCACGCCAGCCTGGATGACAGAGTGAGTCCGGCGCGGTGGCTCAAGCCTGTAATCCCAGCACTTTGGGAGGCCGAGACGGATCACGAGGTCAGGAGATCGAGACCATCCTGGCTAACACGGTGAAACCCCTTCTCTACTAAAAAAATACAAAAAACTAGCAGGGCGAGGTGGCAGATGCCTGTAGTCCCAGCTACTCGGCAGGCTGAGGCTGAGGCAGGAGAATGGCGTGAACCTGGGAGGTGGAGCTTGCAGTGAGCTGAGATCCAGCCACTGCACTCCAGCCTGGGCAACAGAGAGAGACTCTGTCTCAAAAAAAAAAAAAAAAAAAAAAAAAACCCACCAAAAAAAAACAACCAGAAAACTGAGTCTCATGAACAGTTCCCGAAAAAGAAATTGGGCCCACATGAAAACACATTTTTCTCCCAGCTGGGGCAGGCAATGAAGTGAAATAGGTCTGCGGACTGGACTTTCACATAGAGACCGTATATTTCCTAATTTGGGGGTTATGTGGGGATCATCTGGAGGACTGTTCCTGCTTTTGGTGAAACACAGGGAGGTATTCTTTGTGAAGCTGCAAATCTGGCACAGCAATAACCACTGGGGAACTGGAGAGAAAAGAGAAGGCATACTAACTGCTGTTGCAAGTTTCCCAGAAGTATGACATTATTGGGAAGTAAACTGCTTCTTAAATCAACTGTGTCAATACCACGTCAGTAAGGCACAGACAACAACATGAAGTTTCATGACAGAGGCCAAATCTAGCCCAAACCCAGTCCGGCAGAGGTTGTCAACCCAGCGCCCCAGCAAGAGCCAGAGGGTCCCATCCTGGGAGCTGCAGACGCTCTCCTGTGGGCTGCAAAGGCCATGGCCGCATCCTGGACAGGACGTAAGCTCTCAGGGATACATGCATGTTCCTGGGGTTATATGAGTGTGACGGGTGTGGCATTAGTCTGACGGTGTCACGGGCATTCCAGTGGTTACGTGTGTGCTCGGAGGGACAGATGCGTGTTCCGGGGGTTATATAAGTGTGACAGGTGTGGCGTTAGGCACACGATTTCATCCCCGCATTCTGGGCGTTACGTGCGCTCTGAGGGACACATCCGCATTCCTAGGGTCGGATCTGGACAGCAGCTGTCACGTTACCCTGACGGTGTGATCTCTGTATACAACGGGTGCTAACACCAGCATCACAGATGGAGTGTTATTAGTACTACGGGGGTTATTATCACTGTGGTGGGTGTTCCAGTTGCTTTCCTGAGGCTACATTTCTGTTCCGAGACCGTGGCTTGGCTCCGTGGCGCCTCGCCTTGGGTGCAGAGAACGAACCTCAAGTGTGCTGGATTCACAGGGGCTTTTGGTTTCTAATTTTCCACAGGAAGGGTCTCTGCCCCTCAGCTGCCAAGGCTGAAAAAGGAAGGATTTTATTCACCACGGACGCGAGCTCGAGGTGTCCAAAAGCGAGGGGCGTATCCCAGTATGTGCTGAGGAGAACGCGGCTCCCGCTCTCGCAGGACTCAGGCGAGGAGGTAGCACTCGGCCGCCTCAGGGCTCAGAAAAGCCGGGCTCGCGCGCACTCTGCTGGCGGCCGGGGGCACTGCAGCGCCCTAGAGCTCACTGCGCTGTCGGCAGCCCCGTGCCCGCTGCTACACATCCCGCTGCACCACTTAAAGACAGCATGGAGTGTTTGGCGCTATCGTTCTAGAAATGCAAACTGACACAGAGCCCACTAGCCCGTGAATTTCTAAAAATGCAGAAGGCACAATTAATTGGAAACCATAGGAAATAAAATCAACATGAATGCACATTTTACAACTTATGCAAAAATTTACTCAACATAGTCCTCAGACTTAAAACGCGAAACTGTCAGAGGCCTCTTAACCACAGTGACTTTATTTTAAATAAAGGTTTTAAAAAAGTTAAATCTGGGCAGGGCGCAGTGGCTCATATCTGTAATCCCAGCACTCTGGAAGGCCAAGGCGGGCAGATCACTTGAGATCAGGAGTCAAGACTAGCTTGGGCAAATTGTGAGAACCCTATGTCTACAAAAAACACACAAATTAGCTGGCATGGTGGCACGTACCTGTAGTCCCGGCTACCCGGGACGCTGAGGCGGGAGGATTGCTTGAGCTCAGGAGTTTGAGGCTGCAGTTAGCCCACCATGATCACACCACTCCACTCCAGCCTAGGCGACAGAGTGAGACCCTGCCTCACACACACACAAGTTAAATTTGTTGGATTATATATTTAGGGGGTTGAGTACTTTTGGTTATAAAATATTTATGGTTGCGGGAACAAGTTAATAAATAAAGACATAAAACTTATAAAAATGTACCAGGACTTTAAGAACAAAAAAGCATTCTTAGTTTAAAAATAAGTTTTACTTTAAAGGTAATAATACACTCATAAATTCTTGTTAAAATCCACAGTAACATAGACAAGTAACAATATTAATAGCCTGTCACAAACTGATCACAAGCCTTTATAAAAGACAACACTATTTATAATAACCTATATAAACAAACATTAAGCCCGGGCGCGGTGGCACATGCCTGTTATCCCAGCACTTTGGGAGGCTGAAGCGGGAAGATCACTTGAGACCAGGAGTTCCAGACCAGCCTGACCAACATGTGAAACCCAGTTTCTACCAAAAATACAAAAAATTAGCCGGATGTGTTGGCACGCGCCTGTAATCCCAGCTACTTGGGAGGCTGAGGCAGGAGAAACCTTGAACCAAGGAAGCAGAGGCTGCAGTGAGCCGAGATCATGCCATTGTGACAGGAGTGAAACTCCGCCTCAAAAAATAATTTTTTTAAAACAGGTGCATTCCTCCTCTTGCTTTCTGAGGACGCCCTGCTATGTAGTTGAGTAGTCGCTAATAAACTACCTTAACTTCACTATACTCTGTGATTCGCCATAAATTCTTTCCAATGTGAGATCCAAAAACCCATTCTTGGGGTCTGGGACAAGATCCCTTTTCCGGTGACAAAACTATACAAATTCTAGAATAAAACACAGAAAACTATGTGACCTTGGGTTTGGTCATGAGTTTTAACACATGACACTGTCAGAGGCATTTAACGCCTCCTTTATATGAACTCCAGGGTGGTTTATGTTCCATTGGCTAAGAGAAAGTTTTCTTCCAAAATGTAACATGATTTGAGGTCAAACATTAATATCAAGTAAACTCAAAAGATGGAAAAGATAGCATTAGTTCTGGGAAAACCAGAAGTGTGCCTTTTTTGGAAATAATCATCGGTAGCACAAACTTCAGATTCTGCAAAGGAAATAAAAATGAGTTAACTTACATTTTTCACAAATTAAGATATAAATCAAGATAATGAAATCCAGAAATCCAATCTTACTGCTTTTAATGTTCATTAAAAAAAAAAAAGACATCTTTATCAAATAGCCCCAGTAATAGTCACCAACTAAGTCTTTACTACTTAAAAGCAAAATCCACCTATCTCCTGAACAGTATCCACTTTACAAGCCTCATTATACGTACTGGAAACAAGTTTCAGAAATAAATATAGGCATGTATATATATAAAAATATATTTCAAATAAAAAATACTTTTAGATAGTGGTATTACAATACATTTAGAAATTAATAACGGAAGCAAATTATGGGAGATCATCCACGCCTGTCCCAAAGGTACCGAATTTATAAATCATCTCAGATGCGGTGCAGGACAGGTTGAAAATAGGAACGCAATGAACCCGTGCGGAGCAGCGGCCGGCGCGGTGTCCAGGGCAAGACCCTGCCCGGTCCAGGCCCCTCCGGCCCTGGGCCCGACGACTGCTACGCCTCTGACTCCACGCTAACGCGGAGCCCGAGCGCGCGTCACAACGTGTGGGGCCGGGGAGGCTGCTACCCAGAGGCGGAGTGCGGGATCGCGAGGGTGCCCACCCGCCTCTCGCTCCCGCCGGCACGTACGGACTCGCGTCCCCGCCGGGCGCCGACTAGGCAGCAGCACCGCCCCCGGCACAAGAGGCTCACGCGCCTCTTACCTAACAGGAAGTTGGAAGCAGCGCGCCCCCACGGTGCACTGAACGCACTCAAACAGAACCGGACGCAGACACGCGCTTTCAGCCCAGGGGAAAAACTGGCAGGGTCGGAAAAGCAAGCAGCGCGTGCGGGAGCTCAGAATGCGCCCTGCCTCGGCCCGAGACCCCGCCCCGGCCCGGCCCCGCCTTTTTGTCTGCCTCACCCCTCCCCGCCCGGCACGTACTGGCCCCGCCCTTCGCGCGGCGTTTTTTGTTGACCCGGAAACGGATTCTCCGGAGCCAAGGTCCGCTCGGGTGAGTGCCCTCCGCTTTTTGTGGCCAAACCCAGCCACGCAGTCCCCTTCCTGCGCCATCCTCCATACCCGGGGTCTGTGGGTCTCCGCGGACGTCACAGGCTCGGCAACAGCCCCACTGTAGGCGGGGAGCCCCGCGACGCCCTGAAATGCTCCGAAGCCTGTCGCTCAGCTGCCAGATCTGCGTCTGTGTCCGGTTCCGTCACTGAGGTCGCCCCGTCCAGCCCTTCTACCCTAGTTCTCTTCACCGTCCGCCCATCCTATCGCGCGCCGCGTCAGGTCCCCATTCGGCACATGGCTTGTCTCCCGTCGTCCCCACCCTTGCCCCTCTTGGCAGCTCAGGGCAGCCCTGGGATTTGGCAGACGCCAGTCCTCCCTGAGATGTCTCCCCATCCTTCCCTCCGCCAGGCCCTACGTCTCCGCAAACCCCCCGCTTCGGGGTGACCGCTTCAGACAGGAAGCTGAGTCCGGGCCTGGGGTAAGGGACCTGCCCAATCCTGTGACAGCCCGCGTCCTTCTGACAGTCACCTCCCACTAGCGGTGACCTTCCCGGTGCCCCACTGAGAAGTGGGCTCTTCCTTGGCAGGGGCTTCTTCACTGTATCGCTGTGGATGTCGAGGTGGGGCAGGATCGTGAGGAGAAAACAAGAGAAGAGGGAGGTAGGGCCAGCGAGGGACAAAAGGGGAGGGAAATTTAGATGGGAAGTGGATGGGTGTGAGGAATTTGAACAAACACTGAGAATGAAGGAGAGTGACCTGAGCAAGTAGTAGTGGGGTAAATGGAAATAGACAAAACGGCAATCAGCAGAGATGTGGAGGACAGAATACAATGAGGGGGCCCTGACTGTCAGTAGCAGAGGGGGCAACAGAAGCCTAATTCTCAAATTCCTTAGATGATTTTCTGATTTCCAAATTAGTTTCCCTTTGAAATTTGTTGTATCAGGTTCAGTTTATGAGGCCTCAATACTTTTCAGTCTTAATTATGTATTGAAAATACTTTTTGTTTGGTAAATACTTTTACATTAATTCAGTGTGCACTTTGTAAGAATATTGATGATTTGAGTTAGTTTAGTTTTCAACATCTTCCTCTATTCCTTTATATGATCTCTGTATTTAATGACTGTAGGATAAAATTTCCAACTAAGTATAAATATCAAGTTTTCTTTGTGCTGTTTTCTGCAATTATTGAAGGATGGGCTGAATTGTCCTAGAACTTTGTTCCAACAGATTCCATGTGTTCATAATGAATAAATTGCTCAAAGATATTTCGAAAGCTCACCTTTTATGTTTTTTATTGCCAATAATTACATCTTTTTAATTTTTATATTTTTGGATGACTTAATGTGATGTTCTGGAAAAGACAAATGCTTTTAGTCAATATGATTAAAACCGTGAAAGACAAATTGCTGTTACTTAAGAGTGTGAAATTTGATCTCAAATCTTTAGGGGGCAGGGATGTTAAGGGAAAACTGCCACTGTCGCATCCAGATCATGTCATTCCTGTTAAGCTGGTGCTGGTTACTGTCTACTGGCTTCTGTTCACCTTTCCACCTGCCCCAAGACATACACATAGTGACATAAGGCAGTGGATAGGGAAAGAGCAAGACTTTTTAAAGTAAGCACAGAACAAAGGTGTCTTTCTAATGAGGAGGAGCTGTTGGTTCCGGGAAGGAAGCTTGGAGGAGAAAGGGCAATAAGATTTGGGTATTCAGGATCCAGAAGTGAGAGAGAGCTTGGGAAGCTCAGGAACCGGAGAAAGAAAAAGCATTGCCCATTCTCACCCATGACCCTGTGCTCAGCAGGTACTAGCAGAGACTTCAGCAGGAACCAGAGAAAGAAAAAGCATTGCCCATTCACACCCATGACACTGTGTTCAGCAGGTACTAGCAGATACTTCAGGCTCTGTGACTAAAAGGGATCAGACCAGTTCATATACCCACAGCTGCCATGTAAGGATGTGTGTGGACTTTACTAGGGAAGAAGGGTGTTATGAAGGAAGGGGCAGAAAAACTCACCTGTTGGTCTCCAGGTAGAAGTTTATTGTCCCGAATTCCTGGAGGTTCAGTGAAAAGCAGAAGATTGTCTTTTTCACATGTTGAGTTATGCCCCCATATATGTGGTTGTGGTAAAGAAGGAGGGTATGTCGATGGGATGTCCTGAAATGCATGTTCCTAACATTCAGCAGGGACTTCTCAAGACACATCTTGCCTTAGAAAGAAGCTCAGAGAAGAAAAATGGAGAACAATTAGATATGACACTTTCACTGGAAAAAGTCATATTATTCATTGATTGTTTTGTCATCTCCCTCCTTAAATGTTGTTTTTAGGATTTCATAATCTCTGACCCTGCCTAACACATTTCCTAACTCACCCATAGCCTTCCCTTAACTTCATCCCATCTTCACAGCATCACACTGTGACCCAGTGATTTCGAACTTGTGAAGTTCCATTCGGAGGATCATATAGGAAGGCCTTCACACCCAGACATGGTGTGGAAGTGGGCCACATAATGTCAGTGAGGCAAGTATAGATCGTTTAGGGATGATGCACTGTCAGATCTTGTTGACCGTGATTAGAAACACTGTGCATATTAGTAGTGAATTAATGCTGGGAATACCTGACAAATCCTGGAAAAGAAGATTAATGAGAGAAAATTTGTTCTGCCCTATTGTATAATGCATTTGAAGCTTAAAACAATGAATCAGTATTGATCTAGCCTCAAAATATTAATGATTTGGATTAGAAGGAAGAGTTTAGAAAATGATAGCTATGACAAATTAAGGTAGCATTTCATCCACACGATGGAGTGTGTTTTATTCAGTAATTGCTTTAAGAATGGAATCAACCTAAGTGTCTAACAGGAGGGTATTTTAGAAATTGTTCACAGCATGTCTGTTCCAAGGAGACCTTGATGTTCATAGATTTGTAAAGAATGCTGCTTACTAGCACACTGACTTATCTGCAAATGTCTGAGGGTTCCTCCACTTGGGGTAACTTGGGGGTTTGATCGCAGAGTAAATAAATGGTACGTTTTATATTGTAATATATGATAGCAAGATGCAGCCCACAAACTGTGTAGATACTCTTAACTACCACATAAAGTTCATCTACTACTTTAACCAGAACTTGATACTGTATGTATGTTTTTTGTAGATTTGGATAAAATGACAGTTCATTATTATTTCCAGTTCACAAAGTAATTGTGAGGCTGAATACATTTTATTATTTTATAGATGTATGTGTAAAATGAATTTTTCTGCATGACTCATTTTTGATGTATTTTAGATGCTATTTTATATTTTGTAGTTTAATTGTATGTACACACACACAAATACACACTTAGGTGTCTTATTATGTTTCTGCAGCGAAACCAAAATACTTCCTTCATGCCCTTTGATTTTATGTTTTCCTCAGGAAGGCAGGACCTATTTTATATGATAAAATATTATGTTTTATTGAGTCCACTTATGATATTGTTTAATATTATGAATATTTATATGACTTATTTTAAATTTCCAAATAACATAGATTTACATGAAATTTGACATATTTTTTTCTTTTCACAACTATTTTGACTATATCCTCACCAAAAATCAAAATTTAGACAAAATTGGCTTTTAGACTAATTCTCATTTTTTACATGTGAAAGACTACATGTGACTTTTAAGTCTAGGTTGCCTTGAGTCTGCAGTCACTGGGGTTTTATGTCACTGTGTCCTCCAAGCTAATAATATTATTTTCAGGCTTTATTCATGTCATTTTAATGTCCTCATTAAGTTTTAAAATTTCTTTACATGGGCCTACAAATTTATTTCAAATGTTCCTCATAATATTTTGCTATTGTAAATAGAGACTGATTTTGTGTGTTTGCTTTGTTTAAAGATTAATGTTACTAAACAGGAAATACTGATTTCAGCATATTCAGAATAGTTTTGCCCACTTTTTAAATGTTCTTGTTAGTATTGATAATTAGAATTGATTCTACTTTTTCAAGTTTACAGTCACATCATCTGAGAATAACTACAGTTTCATGTCTTTGACTCCATTTTTGTAGTCCCTCTCCTTTTCCCTCTTGTTTTGGTCCCACCTCAGGCATCATGTGCAGTGGTGAATGGCATCAGCCCCAGCCAGCCTCCTTATTCCAGCCTTACCTTTAGTGGAAATGGTCCTTTTGTTAACTCTTGAATATATAGTTGAGATTTTATTGATTAAGAATAATTAGTCCCCACAATTTGATATGATTTTTAAAGATTTTAAATTATTTTTAAAGATTTAAATTATTTGAAAATGTTTTTTCAAACGTTGGTTGATGTGAATGTTTTTAATCTTTAAAATTACTATGTGAAAGTAATACGTTTTCTAGTATGGAATTATCCTTGCTCTGGCATTATTTAACCATACCAGTGATGGCCAGGTGACCAAAATAAATAGCCAAATGGCTAAAAGTGTATTAATAATTTTTGCAAATATAATTAATGAAAATTGTTGGTTAAAATTCTAGTTATTGTTGCATTCATGTTCATTTTGATTAGCATAATACACTAATGAGGACAGGCTTATTTTTCTCCTTCAAAAGCATTTACATTACAAAGGAGGTAGAAGTGATTTGACATGTGATAACTCTAACAAGTCACTTTTACAGTTAAACTCTGATGTATAACTTAAATATTAAAATTAGCTGTCATATTTTTCTGCTGATTACTGAGGGAAAGTTTTAACTTTATTTTCATGGAAATTAATCAATGTATCATATATTCATGTTAGAATACAATTGTTCTGATTTCTTAGATTTTAAATTACTACTTTTAAATAAATACAGTCTCTTTTATTTACCTGTGTTTTTTCTTTCCACCATGGGTCTTTTCAGTTTAGTGATCTTGCTCTCAAAACTTTTTAATTGATTTCTGTCAAATCTGTTCATTCATTACATTATTTTATTATTTATTAAATTCTTTTAACTTTTTAACTTTTATTAATACGTACTGCATTTGTAACAATTTGGAAAGTCAAGTAACTAACTCCTGTTTTATTTTTCTTTATCTTGGTTTATGAGTGTTTTTAAAGTTTTACGTTCCTTGAAGATCATAGCTGTAGCCCCAATTCTATGGTTCTGGCTACTTTATTTATCACACTTACTAATATCATGAATGTAATTGGAATACTCCTGTGATTTTACTGGTGACATATACCCACTAGTGTACTGAGATGGAAAAAACAAAGTCTTTAGAACTCAGAAAAATATAGAGTTTATATTTATTATTTATGTAAGTGTGATCTTGTTATTAAATTCCTCTATCATATTTATGGAATTAGCAATTTCTCTTTGAATCTAGATGTTCCTAGTTATGTGTATTTCCAACATATGTTTTTAGCCACATACACTTTTTTGAATATCATATTTGGTGTTTAATTTTTGCTAGGATTATCGGCTGGACTCCAGATCCAAACTCGACATGTGGCAGACCCACTAAAAACATACATTAAGCCCCTAGCACTGTTTTAATCTCCGTGGCCTGGCTGAGCTTCTGCCATCCGTCCTCCTAGGCACTGTGAGGTCTGGACATCTCATTTGGCATAACTCAGCTGTGGCCATTGGTGGATCTTATCCTTAGTACTACTCCCTGCTGGCAGGGGTGGCCCAGGCCCACATAAGCCATTGCTGGGCTCCTTGGAGGACTTAGAGAATCCTGAGATTGCCCATGAGGATGGGCATGCCTCACAGTCTAGCACCCATCTTTACTGATGCCTGCAGAGATTTAGAAGCTCACAGGGGTCTTTGATGTCTTTCTTATGCCTCCATTGTCTGCAGTGTGACTCCCATACTCCTAAGCCAAGGTAGAGAATTTTGAGGAGGCTTGTATGGAGGTTTATGGTGACCCCCATGGTTCTGTGAGACTGGTAGAAGGCACAGACCCCTTAGACTTCTCCCCCAGAGGAATATGTGAGACTAGTGGAGGAAAGGAGAGTAATGAAGTATGCATTTAGCATCCCAGGCTATCATTGCACAGCTCTAAGGAGAAATACAGGGTGTCTTATGGCAACTGGCACAGCTCTGTGAGACTGGGAGATATTGCCCCGGCAAGGCAGAGTCTTGCTCTGTCACCCAGACTGGAGTGCAGTGGTGTGATCTCAGCTCATTGCACCCTCCACCTTCCAGTTTCAAGCGATTCCCATACCTCAGCTTCCAAAATAGCTGGGATTACAGGTGCCTGCCACCACGCCCAGCTAACTTTCATATTTTTAGTAGAGAGGGGGCTTCACCATGTTGGCCAGGCTGGTTTTGAACTTCTGACCTCAGGTGATCCTCCCGCCTTGGCCTCCCAAAGTGCTGGGATTACAGGCATGAGCCACCATGCCCGGCAAGAACTCCTTTTTATGTTAGATTTGCTAGGGTTTAGTAGCTCACAGAACCCAGGAAAACAGTTTACTTAGCTGATTTATTACAAAGGGCATTTTAAATATTACAAATGAACAGCCAGCTAAAGAGTTACATACAGCAAGTTTTGGAAGGGTCTTAGTTTCAGGAGGTCTGTCTCCAAGCAGTTGGGATGTACCATTCTTTCAGCATGTGGATGGCTCTTCACTCATCCAGAAGCTCTTTGAATCCCATCATTTAGGGATTTTTACAAAGTGTTCATCTAGTAGGCATAATTGTTATCAACTCGATCTCCAGCCTCTGCCCTTTACCAGAGGATAGGGGGTGGGACTGTATGTTCCAAGCTTATAATCATGTCTTGGTCTTTCAGGTAATCACCCCCTATCCTATAGCCCAATAATAATTGTTTTGTTAGAACAAAAGACACTCCTATCACCCATGAAGTTCCAATGCATTACGAGCTCTGTATTGGGAACCAGGGTCAAGGACCAAAAAGAACAAAAGCTTCTCCTAGCAACTTTATTACTTAGGAAATCACAAGCGTTTGGGGGACTGTGTGCCAGGAACTGGGGATGAAAACCAAACTATTTCTTATAAATAACAATGTCACATACATGTTCATATATTCATGTTGTTAGTGTCCTTTCATTTCAACTTGAGGAACTCCCTTTAGCATTTCTTATAAGATATGTCACTTGTAAAGTGTGTCTTTTAAGGTATCCACCATCATAAAATGAAATTTGAAGCTGCTTGGTAGATAAATTCATGCTGAATTTATCTAAAGGTCAGACTTCAGGGAGTGGTATTTCTAGAAGCCTCACGTGGAAGAGACAGAATCATTCAGTAGAAGTGTATACAGAGGACCAGCAGAAGGGAGAAGGAATGGAGGGAGGCTCATGAGGGGTGAGATGCGCGGAGAAAGCCTGCAAGCACACAAACCAAGAATAATTAAATCTGAGAAATTCCAGGATTTATCTGTAGGTGGAGACCACATCTGCATGATTCAGGGATTCTTAGAATTTGGAATCATAGAGGGAATTGAACATTTCAGAATTCCATGGGCTAGGTAGCATATGAAACTCCATGATTTTCACATTTCTAGGTCTAAAATCAAAATATTTATATATTTATTAGCAACAATAGTCATTCTCTTCTTCTGACCCTGGAAGAGGAGAACCACCAACCCAACCCATCCCCCACCCACTGCATGTGCTTGTTGGTTGGACTGGGGCTAATGGCTTTGGGACAGATGTTAGAAGCAAAACTGGAGTGTCATGGTTTTTTTGTTTTATTTTGTTTTGTTTTTTGTTTTTCTCAGAATTGTCTTCTTAGTGCTTGGATGGTGTGAGTGAAAACCCAGAGGAATACATTTGGTGGCTGAGCTAGTACAATGCCATCACTGGTGAGTGGGAAATTCTTCTTTCTACTGAAATTTGTACCCCTGCTACCAGCCTAAGGGCAGATTCATCCTATTAACATAGATGTTCTAAGTGCATTCAAGGATCCAAGCTCCAATTAAGATTTCCCAGGGCTTGGAATGGTTCCATTGGCTCAAAGAGTCATCAAGAAGTAATCTCCTTTCAACAGTACACTCATTCCAGCCTCTACTAAGGTTGCGTATTCTCAGAAAAGATGTGAGAGGATTTTGTTTCTCTCATCCAGTCTCGGGGAAATCATTCATTCATTACCAGCCTCTCATGGCCTTGTTGGGGAAATAAATTCACTCATTACCCATGTTATTGGCAGGAGTGGGCTTGGGAGTATATGCGGATGGGCAGTGAAAATAAGTGAGAGCAGAAGATTATAGCCCTTACAAAGGCAGATGTTTTCCCAGGCAAGCTCAGTTAGTCTAGTGTTTCAGGTGTTAGGGGAGGGCTGTTTAACATGAAGGGAAAGCAGATAGGATTAGGACAGAGGAGACAATGGGAATTATTCATTTATTTTTCCTTTCTAAAAATCTTAATGTCTTGAGAGAATAAATGTATGCTTTTGAAAACTTAGAAAACAAAATTAAAATTCTTATTATCCTTGTCCCCAAATGAACCTCTGATCAAATTTGATAACTGGAAGCAACTGAAGTGTTGTTTCTTTAATTTTGGTTGTGCATTAAGTGATGGAGTATAGGAAACAGAGTAAATTTAAAACTCTGAGGAAATTTTTGAAGTGGAGAGACCAGGATAATCAAAGGATTTTTTTTAACCCCTAAATCTAGAGACAACATGAAGAAACAAAAGAGAATCGTACCTAGTGCATAATAGTTGGTTTTCACACCACTATAAAGAACTACCTGAGAGTGGGTAATTCATGAAGAAAAGAAGTTTAACTGACTGACAGTTCTGCAGGCTTAACAGGAAGCATGACTGGGAGGCCTCCAGAAACTTACAATCATGGCGGAAGGGGAAGCAAGCACCTTCTTCATAAGGCAGCAGGAGAGAGATACCAAATCAGAAAATGCCACACACTGTTAAATCAGCAGATCTTCTGAGATCTTACTAGCATGAGAACAGCAAGGGGAAGTTCACCCCCATTATTCAATCACCTCCCACCAGGCCCCTCCCCCAACATGTGGGGATTACAATTCAAGATGAGATTTGGGTGGGGTTGCAGAGCTAAACGATATCACCTGGTGTTTGGAGGTCCCAGATAAAACTGAGAAAGGAAGTCCTCAGACCATGGGAAGTGGCAGGATGAGACCATCTTTCAGTACTGAAGTCTTAGAGCCCCTGGCTTGTGCTGCTGAGCCATTCATCCTTATCCATTAACAGTGAATACCTGAGTTGTGTAGAGATAAGAGGCTGCATCTGCTGCTACCAAGTTCTGTATGAAAGTTGTTCACTCAACTGAGTGTTCTCAGTCATTTCATGAATAATGTATTTGTGGCTTGTATCTAAAAATTGATAGATAGGAACCACTTTACATATTATCTCACTGGATCTTTTTGAACTTATAACAGGTCTTTATTCATGAGGACACTGAGGTGCTGTAGTGGAATATCTAATTAAAGTATTGATTAAAATGTGACAAATTGTGGATACTGCCTCCCTTGTAGTGAGTCTATGGATTTTCTTTTTTTTTTTTTTTTTTTTTTTTTTTGAGACGGAGTCTCACTCTGTCACCCAGGCTGGAGTGCAGTGGTGCGATCTCGGCTCACGGCAACCTCCGCCTCCCGGGTTCACGCCATTCTCCTGGCTCAGCCTCCTGAGTAGCTGGGACTACAGGCGCCCACCACCTCACCCAGCTGATTTTTTGTATTTTTAACAGAGACGGGGTTTTCACCATGTTAGCCAGGATGGTCTCGATCTCCTGACCTCGTGATCTGCCCGCCTCCACCTCCCAAAGTGCTGGGATTACAGGCGTGAGCCACCGCGCCTGGCTTATGGATTTTCTTGAAGGTGGTGGAGAGGAGAATTTTAGTTCTAAATTTACAAGTCAAGATTTCATAATTAGTATCTGGAAGTTATACTTAGAAGTCTATTAGGAAATCTTCAGGTTATATCATGTGATATTTCTCTATGTGAAGTTTTATGTCTTTAGTGTATCTGAAAGCCAGATTCCCAGTTCAGATTTCAAGCAATGTGACAGGAACCCCAAACACTGTTTGAGTTTTCTTTCATACCACCCACACTTCCTTAGGACAGTCACTTTATCTTGCTCCACTGAACACTGGCAGAGATAGCCCTGTTTGCAGTAGAATGTCCATAATGTTTTAGGATTCCATGACCTTCGAGGATATAGTTGTAGACTTCACTCGGGAAGAGTGGGCCCTGCTGGACACATCCCAGAGAAAGCTGTTTCAAGATGTGATGTTGGAGAACATCAGTCATCTGGTCTCTATTGGTGAGTCTCTTTATATTTATTATGTATGTATGTATATATGTATTCATTCACTCACCTGTTTTTCACTGATTCATTCATTCATTCTACATGTTTCTAGAACAGCTTTCTCATCTGTCACTTCAACCTCTGCCTTGATCCTTTCATAACTCTCACAATTACCTGACAGCCATTTATTTCCTTTTCACTTATATTGATTTGTCCTGTCTCTAGAATGTCATCTTTTTGACCACAATTTCACATCCTTCTTGCTCTTCAATCTCCCAAACTCAGAAAAGTTATGAAAATTCACTGCTTTTGAATGCATAAATAAATGTATTGATTTCTTTAAAGTAATTGTTCTATCATAGGGACTGTTCTGCACAGAACCTAGATTGTTCTGGTGGAGCTAGTATTTATTGCATTATTTTTTAATATAATGTCAAACACTATGACAACTTGTAATTTCTCACTGTGAGAAAATACAGGGAAAATACTGAGTGAAAATACTGAGGATTTTCACTGCAATAAGTGAAAATACTGAGGATTCTGCAATCAGTATTTGAAGTGAGGCATGACCATCAGCAATTATTGGTCTTTTATGTCTGGGAACAAGTTCAAGAGTTTTCCTTTTGCTCATAAAGGACTGTCAGTGTTGTCTTCAAGGTAATCTTCCCAGGCTGACCTTCAGTGGCTAACTTATCCTTCCCAGTAGCCTACCCTGTACCTGATAACCTTGTACATTTGTCAGCACAGAACTCAAAATCCATGTATCTTTTTCCCAAAAACAGGCAAACGGCTCTGCAAATCAGTTGTGCTTTCTCATTTGCAGCATGTAGAGAAACTTTCAACACAAGGAATGAGCTTACTGCAAGGTGAGCTCTAAGAAGCAGTGCTCAATAGGAGGAGGAGAAACATGGCCAGTGAGTGAGTAGGCCCCAACAGTTGCCAAAGGAAGATTTCTTTTTTCCTTTTTTTTAGACAGAATCTTGTTCTGTCACCCAGACTGGAGTGCAGTGGCACGATCTCGGCTCACTGCAACCTCTGCCTCCCAGATTCAAGTGATTCTCCTGCCTCAGCCTCCTGAGTAGCTAGGACTACAGGTGTACACCACCATGCCCAGCTAATTGTTTTCTATTTTTAGTACAGACAGGGTTTCAACATGTTGGCCAGGCTGGTCTCAAACTCCTGACCTCAGGAAATCCATCCACCTCGGCCTCCCAGAGTGCTGGGATTACAGGCATGAGCTACCACGCCCAGCTGGAAGGTTTCTTAAATTTGCAGTGTTTCTGAAATGTAGGCAAAAGCCTGAGGGAAACATTTCTCAGGTATTGACATTATACTTTGTAGGTGTCAATTTTTATTCAAGTATATCTCTGTCATTGTCTTTGGCTTTTGTAAAGGGGATATTTGTGTACTTATTTGAGTTAAACTATTACATAGTAGCCCTTTATAATGGTCCTCTTCTTTGAAAATTTTTCTTTCCTTTACTTCCTTAACTTGCCTTCTTTATTTTTTTATATGCTGAAAATGTCAGTAGTCAATTTCCTATAATACTCTTCTTCTTAAAGTATCATTAATTTAACATGCCTTCCCTGTCTGTGTGTATTTGAAACACACTCAAATAGGCATTGTAGCTATTTAACATTTTTATTCCCCTAATGCCTGTATAGCATCTTTTTTTTAAAAATTTATTTCAGGTAGAGAAGGTGACATTAAACATCAAGAGATACCATTCATTCAACATACCTATCAGAAGGGCACATCCACCATCAGCACAATGGTAGGTAAGCTTTATGGATGCGAACCCTGTTCTTCCATATAGAAACCTGGACATTGAACAACTTTGGAATTTGGTACAGGTACCTGACTGTACTTAAAGCCCTCCCAGCAGAGTTTTAGTTAGTTTGGATGTAGTGAAGACATTAACTTCAAATCAAAACCATAACGTGAGGCCTTATAACAGGACAATTGTATAAATTTTACTATGTGCTGAAACTTTCAAACAGGATAAAGTCTTTTTTTTTTTTTTTTTTTTTTTTTTGAGACGGAGTCTCGCTCTGTCACCCAGGCTGGAGTGCTGTGGCCGGATCTCAGCTCACTGCAAGCTCCGCCTCCCGGGTTCCCGCCATTCTCCTGCCTCAGCCTCCCTAGTAGCCGGCACTACAGGCGCCCGCCACCTCGCCCGGCTAGTTTTTTTTTGTATTTTTTAGTAGAGACGGGGTTTCACCGTGTTAGCCAGGATGGTCTCGATCTCCTGACCTCGTGATCCGCCCGTCTCGGCCTCCCAAAGTGCTGGGATTACAGGCTTGAGCCACCGCGCCCGGCAGGATAAAGTCTTAATACTAGTCAGATAGCTCTTCAGTTGGGATGCTACAACAGAAAAACTCTCTACATGCAGTTAGATAATGCACCATGTTTATATAACTGATACAGAAACAATTGTAACTGGAATCTACTACTGAATGATTACTCTAGAATTAGTATGTAGAGAAATGAATGAATGAGTGTGGATAAACCTTTAATAGTCTTTCATTTCCTTCCAAAAACCAGAGATCTCATACTCAAGAGGATCCTTTTCTATGTAATGATTTAGGAGAAGATGTCACTGAACATACAGCATTGACTCAAAATGTGATTACTTACATGAGAAAGAAACACTTTGTAAGCAAAAAGTTTGGAAAAACCTTCAGTGACTGGGTACAACACAAGGAAATTCACACCAGATGTAAATCAGATGAAGGTCATCTATTTGATTATGCCTTTATCCAAAACTCTGCCCTTAGACCACACAATGTGACTCACACTAGAGTGATAACATTGGAATGTCATGTGTGTGGGAAAACCTTCAGCAAAAATTCTAATCTTAGGCGACATGAGATGATTCACACTGGAGAGAAACCACACGGATGTCATCTATGTGGGAAAGCCTTTACTCATTGCTCTGATCTTCGAAAACATGAGAGAACTCACACTGGAGAGAAGCCATATGGATGTCATCTATGTGGGAAAGCCTTCAGTAAAAGTTCTAACCTTAGACGACATGAGATGATTCACACTAGAGAGAAAGCACAGGTATGCCATCTATGTGGGAAAGCCTTCACTCATTGCTCTGACCTTAGAAAACATGAGCGAACTCACTTAGGAGATAAACCATATGGATGCCATCTATGTGGGAAGGCTTTCAGTAAATGTTCTTACCTTAGACAACATGAAAGAACTCACAATGGAGAGAAACCATATGAATGTCATCTATGTGGAAAAGCCTTCTCTCATTGTTCTCACCTTAGACAACATGAGCGAAGTCACAATGGAGAGAAACCACATGGATGTCATCTATGTGGGAAAGCCTTCACTGAATCTTCTGTGCTTAAACGACATGAGAGAATTCACACTGGGGAGAAACCATACGAGTGTCATGTATGTGGGAAAGCCTTCACTGAATCTTCTGACCTTAGACGACATGAGAGAACTCACACTGGAGAAAAACCATATGAATGCCACCTATGTGGAAAGGCCTTCAATCACTCTTCTGTCCTTAGACGACATGAGAGAACTCACACGGGAGAGAAACCATATGAATGCAATATATGTGGTAAAGCCTTCAATAGAAGTTATAACTTTAGACTTCATAAAAGAGTTCACACTGGAGAGAAACCATATGTATGTCTTCTATGTGGAAAAGCCTTTAGTAAATTTTTTAACCTTAGACAACATGAGAGAACTCACACTAAAAAAGTAATGAATATGTAAGAGTCATCAACCATAGCGTTAACACTAAATACACCCAAGGACTGACATACTACAGGAACATTTATCTGTAATCAGTGTGGAAAAGCCTTTATTTGTAATCACCACTTTGCTCAACCTAAATGAATCCAAAGTAGGGAGAATCCATATGTATTTAAGCTGTATGGCACAAACTATGAGAGAATGAAACTATAGATCAAAGGAATGTGGAGGAGTCTTCATCCAAAGCTCTAACTGTTAAACAAACAGGAGAAATCACATCACAAAAATTCTGTACCTGTCGTCAATGTGAAAATGCCATCCTTTAAACAAATGAGTAAAATCGACAGGCGAGCAACCATACGTCTGTAATTGCTGTGCACTGTCATTCAGCTAAGCACCAGTTTTGGTGTCTGCAAGAAAATTCATTATCAGATAACTGATAAAAACAGGAAATTTGTGAAAATATTTTTATTAGGTGGATGAAGCCTCTTGCACAATTCCAGAAATTCATAGTAGAGAAATTATTCAGTGAGAAATCATTTTCTTAATACAGCAGCACTTCTATAATAGATCAGAATTCACATGGTGTAGAACGCTCAGTGACATGAATGGAGGGCAGTCCTCAGTAAATTACTCATTCCTTAGTCAATACCAGCATTTTTCCACTGAGAAAACAATCTTGACATGATAGTAGAAGAACCTTTAGGCAGCTTTCCTGTCAAAAAAGACAGGGAAGAAAACTCTAAAAAGCCATTGAGATGTATAGCTGGGGGACAAGACATAAAGCCATCAAGCACATGCTTGAGAAAAAAAATTATGGTTTTGAGCAGACTTTCTACTTAAAATATGTGGGATGAAATGTACAATTCTGAAATAACCTGGGAATATTGAATGCAGAATTGTGTAAGAAGTAATAAGATTAAATTAGTACTGTCAAAAATGCAAGCATTAAATGTCGTTGCTGAATAATAGGTTGATTAAACTCCAATTTTTTTGTTGTTGTTGTTCGTTTGTTTTTTAAACAGTCTCGCTCTGTCGCCCAGGCTGGAGTGCAGTGGCATGATCTCGGCTCACTGCAAGCTCCACCTCCTGGGTTCACACCATTCTTCTGCCTCAGCCTCCCAAGTAGCTGGGACTACAGGCACCCGCCACCACACCCGGCTAATTTTTTGTATTTTTAGTAGAGATGGGGTTTCACTGTATTAGCCAGAATGGTCTGAATCTCCTGACCTTGTGATCTGCCTGCCTCGGCCTCCCAAAGTGCTGGGATTACAGGCATGAGCCACCGTGCCCAGCCCAAACTCTATGTTTTTAATTCAGTTTTAAACACATAGATTTGGGTCAGTTAGAAAATGGGGACGGGCATGGTGGGTCACACCTGTAATCCCAGCACTTTGGGAGGCTGATATGGATGGATGGATCACTTGAGGTCAGGAGTTCGACACCAGCCTGGCCAACATGGTGAAACCCCATGTCTACTAAAAATACAAAATTAGTTGGGCATGATGGTGTATGCCTGTAGTCCTAGCTATTCAGGAGACTGAGGCAGGAGAATCACTTGAACCCAGGAGGCGGAGGTTACAGTGAGCCAAGATCATGCTACTGCACTCCAGCCTGGGCAAAAAAGTGCAACTCTGGCTCAAAACAAAAAGACAGTGACATTCAATGGAACTAATATACGTAGAACACAAAATTATATGTCCTAACTATATTAATGGTATATATGTACATGGTAATGATTAAATCAAACATGGATTATGAAAGACTCACTTTAAAAGTACAGTCTTATGGTGCATAAATTTGCCTTTTTGTTTTTAAACCACTTTATCAAAGTGAATTGACAAAAGCTGTTATTTAATGTATACAACTTAATAAGTTTAGAGATAAGGATAAGCCCATGAAGCCATCACCACCATCTTTGCCACATTCATCCTCTCCAAAGGTTGCTTCCCTCGTTTTTCATTGTTTTCTTTATGATAAAACCACTTACATAACAACCTGTAGCAAATTTTAAAGTATATAATATAGTATTGATAACTATAGGCAATATATTACAAAATTTAACATTGCAAAAATAGAACTAATTACAAGTGAATCTATTTAAATAAAAATTGGCAGTGCTGGATAATTGTGGTTAAATTTGCACGAATATCTCCCAGAATCAGGTACAAGTGTCGTAACATAGAGATTTTTGTTGCCATGGGCTTTTTTTTCTTTAAGAACCTTTCTGTTCTGTGTGTAAATATTTAATATTCTCACTTTTCCTAACAAAGGCTCTTTTACTTTTGGAATCTTATGTCTTCCTCTCTGGCCTTTAAAGCTTACAATTTAAATGAATCCGTTTTTTTTTTTTTTTTTCCTATATTTGTTTCATCTTTATTCACTGCATCCTACCCAGAAGCAGAAGCCCCACTATTTTGCACAAAACAAAAATTTCTGCTTATTTTTTTTCAACCTAGGTAGGCTGTCTTTCTTCTGGGGCTTTATGTTCCCTTCATGCTAATTTTCAAGTGCTTAAGAAAAACCAGTGTGATACATCATTGACTCTCCCCTTTCTCATGAATTCTACCTCAGAAAATCCTGTGTGAACAGGCTACCCTCATGCCTTAAAGCAGCTGTTTCATGTATTTCATTTAAGTTTTGTTACTGTTAATGGTGGGTTGGTCCAATGAAAGCCACAAAGTCATGGTGGGAACAAAAATGTTTAACTCAAATATTTTAAGCCAAGTAATGGTTCAACTATTTTTATGGGTGAAATATTCAAATCAGAATTTTCACAATAATGACTATTTCTATAGGAAAAAGTTCTCCACAGTTCACAGCTTAAAATCACATTAAATCCGTTGGTGTCACCTGCCCCATTTACCACATGCCACCATAAGGCCCTGCTCTTTTGGGCTGTGACAGAAGTCAGTATATTTTCCCCCTGTGCCACATGTGTCCCTGCTCCCAGTCCTGGGTTTCTGTGTTGATGCCAAGGTATCAGATACCCATAGTAAGAGCACACACATGCACAGCCAGATTTCCTTTGATATCAGATTAGTGATTCATGCAGAACTTTTTAGGTAAGGGGTAGTAAGTTTTGAGTCATCAGGTCATTGCCATGGAAAGGGAGGTAACCCCCAGGTGTTGCCATGGCCATGGTAAATAGATATGGTACACTGGTGGGTATGTCTGGAAAGTTGCTTTTGCTCTGGCTTTGTTTTAGCTAATCCTCAATCTGGTCCAGTGTCTGAGCCCTGCCTCTGGAGTGAAGTTCCACCTCCTACCTCATCCTCTCCTCAGCGATTACATATTCCTCCTTAGTCTTAAGGGTGCTGTAGAAGGGCAGAGGTCTGTATTCTGTCACTGTTGCCTGCTGAGCTTATGGGCATAGGCCCTGCCTAGCACTGGAGGAGTAAAAATACCTGGGTAACTCAACTAAGGGACCCAGAGGCAGGACACTTTTTCATTATCTGGGTCAGTAGACAGGATGGGTTGGAATTCTTCTGCCAGCATTGTCTTTACCTGGAAGTTTTGTAATCCAGAAGACGCAAACTTTACTAAGAGGTTAAGCAAGGAAGTGACAAAGAATAGTAACAGGATAGCTATCAAAGGTCCTAGGAGACGTAAAAACCAGGTGACACTTGGAAGGTACTTTTGATAGTTGACCAGATATAGTTGGGAGTCAGTGCCCTGGTTATGTAACCAGGTAACTTGCTCATAGATCTTTTGAATGTTAATCTCAACTTGTCCAGATTTGTTAATATATGTGCAGCAGGTTTTACTAATAACTTCACAGACTCCTTGTTCAGCTAGTAAATAATTCAACGCTAGTCTCTTATAGAGAATTACATTTGCCAGAGTCTAAGGACTTGAATTCCCTTTCATGCCTGACCTGTGATGGTGGCTAAGGTTTCTAAGGGTTTGAGTCAAGTTCCTTAGGGCTTATGAGCTTTAATCCTTAAGTGGATTATGAGCTTCAAATGGGCAGTTGGATTTTGAACCTAAATGCCACAGAGAGCAACAGTTGGTAGAGAGGTGGGCTAAACAAATGGAAGGGAGGGACTGTGGAAGGGAGAAACGGAAGAGGTAAACAGTGTTGCCCAAGGGGAGACCTCAGAGGCCCTAACCTGCTGGAGAACCTATCCAGTAGCAGAGACACTGAAAAAAGTACTCACATGGCCAATTTTCTACCATTGTAGGTGGTTCTCCATTATGCCAGGGGCCTGAGAACTCCCAATTCCTTTGACCAAGAGTGGCTTGAGCAAGCTAGTTGGAAGACAGCACACAGGAAGAGGTTAGCAACTTGCTATTAAAATACTTCTAACTTATAGGGCAGAAAAGGGCAAGACCAATACTCCCCTAGGGAGAGGGCTATAACTCATATATCCCTCAGAATTCCAGAGGGAATATCAACACAAATACCCCGGAGCATCTGGAGGGTGGCCAAAATACCAGTGCTGAAAACTCAGAAGAGCCAAGTTTCAACCAAAAACGTTCCCTTCACCAAATGCTGAAAACCCTGGGGCGCCCAGAGAGTGGCCAACAGTCAATCCAAGACCAAATTGGGGTCACCAAACAACATGACTCTAGCATCGCAGAGTGAAAACAGTGGGGACCTCTCACAACCAAGGACCCTGCCTTAATTGCCCCCAAACAATTAACAAAGTTAAAACCAAACGCAAGACTGCACACATTTTACGACTGAAAATAAAATAACTAATGGAACAATACAATGGAGTCTGAAGAGAAAGCACTCAGGGAAGGGGTGACAAGGACGTGGTCTAGCCAAAGGCTTTTATTTTATTTCCTAGTTCTCCTGATACTATGGGGGTGGGGGCAGAAGGGACACTTACCTGTCCAGCAGGACAGATGTGGTGCTGACTGATTTTCCCCATGGGACCCAGGTAAAGCTCTCCCCAGCATACCTCAGCTGGGGTGGACTTAACTGCCACAATGGGCGGGACCTGCACAGGGGGTCCAGTAACCCAGTAACTCTCTGTCTGCCAGTCAGAAAGGTGGGTGTCACATAAGGTGGTGACACTATGGCTGCCCTGCCAGTGGGCTCAGCTGCTGCAGTGGGAGGGGCCTGCACTGTGTCAGTAACCCACCAGGCTGCTGGGAGTGGTAGGCCCCACATGAGGCAGTGTCACTATGGCTGTTTGCCCATCTGAATGACTCCACTGCCTGCCAGGGAAAATGATGGTTCTGAAAAGAGCCTTTGGTTTGTGTTCAGCTCAGATGTTACAGCTAGGCTTCGACGCCTTTCCACTCCTCATCCCACCAACTGCCATCCTGCTGATCACTGTCCCGCTGACCAGCATCCCCCTGATCACTGACGGCTGCTAGCCTATTGTCAACTGCTGCATTGCAGACTGCTGCTGGCCAATCACTGATTCACAGACTGCTGCTGGCTGCTGACTGGCAGATTGCCACTCCTCAATTACCAATTGCCATCTCCCATGACACTGTCTTTTTTCTTCATGCCATGTTGGGTGCCAAGCTGATGCAAGGTGAGCCCCACAGTGGGGCTTAGCCCAGAGGGTGCTTGGCTTTGCCCAGGAAATAATTCAAGGGCAAACTAGAGGTCAAAGAAAACACCTTTATTGAAGAGGCAGTGTTATAGCTCCAGCAGGGTTACAGCTCTGTGACTGCTCCTGCAGAGCAGGGCTACTCCATAGGCAGACAGTAGCAGCTCAGGGCAGTTTTGCAGTCAACTTTATATCCACTTTTAATTGCATGCAGATTAAGGGGCTGTTTATGCAGAAAACTCTAGGGAAGGGATAGTGACTTTCGGGTCATTAGGTCATTCCCATGGAAAGGTGTGGTAACCCCTGGGTGTTGCCTTGGTAATGGTAAATTGACATGGCACATTGGTGGGCATGTCTGATTGGAAAGCCGCTTCTGCTCCAGTCCCTTTTTAGCTGCTCCTCAACCTGGTCCAGTGTCCCAGCCCCACCTTCTACCTCGATAAGAGGATACAGTAAAGAAACCAGCCTAAATCAGCTAGAAGAAAGGT